TGTTCATAGCGGATTCAGCGGGAAAATTGCAGCGAAGATTTGACTTGTAGTCATAAAGAGAAATTCTTTGCAGTTTCTTCTTATTTTGGGATTGGGCTTATTAAACAAGGTGTGTATGCCACTTAATATATATTAAGGTAATATGGTTTCAGTATTGGATTTCATCATGTCTAACATTAATTCCCACCCCCTCCTACACTTTCAATCTGCGTCTGCTATGCAGGTTCTCGCCGTGACACAGTATGAGGTACAAGAAAATAGGATTGTACCCTTGAACCCTTCCTCGTTCTCTGTGAAGAAGCAGCCGGATTCTGCTCAATGCCTTCAACAATGAGATCAGACAGTTGTCAAATAGAGCATCCTACCATTATGCAGTACAGCACATTTCAGCTTCAACATTTTGTGTCACTTGGCTCTCATCTTCAATTTATCTTTACATGGACAAAACCACCCTCTTGAGAAGAAGTCAAAATCCTGAAAAATTCACACTTATTTGTTTCTTAAATCGGCTTTCCATAGAAAATTATAATAAACCTGCCAGCTAAACAAAACCATTGTTTGCATTTCCATATGTTCAGCTACCTGAAATAATTTCAAAATGATTATTCTAAACATGATAAAGAGAAGAAATTAGAAAATGTTTCTGTCACTCTTCATAATGGATTCTGTGAAAATACAACTAGTGTAAAATAAATGAAAAATTAATTAGTGTGGGCACTAGCTGATTGCTTTATGCTATTAAGTATTCAAGCTTGTAAATTGGAAAACTATCAGATGAAAAATGGAAAATATATGCCATTTAATAGACAATGATTTCTTTCATGAACAAGATGGTGTTGTCATTATACAAATGTTCAGCAGTTATTTAAATATATTATGCAGCCTGCAACTAACATATTCTTAGCTATTTTTATAAGATTTTAGAAATGAATCATTTAAATCACGTTATTGAAAATATTTTGGGTTAGAACTATGCATTTTCTTCTGGTTTTTTTTAAATAAGCTTCAATGTTGAATTTAGACATTTAAAATGGTCTAATTTGTGAACTTTGGAAAATTGTAAGAATCCTAGAATTGACCTATTTTCGCTAAATCTAAGGCACAAATCAGGAAAAGGCAGACTGAAACATTAAATAATGAGCAGTTAGTTGGTTTATTAGTGCATATGTGAAACAAAATTGACCTGAAAGGGAAAAATACTAATTCCTGTAGTTTGGTGGCAGACAAGGCTTTCTGAGGCTAAAGTTTCATAATTTTGCAAAAACTAATGCGGAAGAGGCCACATAAATAAATATCACAACCAATGGCTTATTTTCTATGTTTTGCATTGTTACTTGTTATTAGCTACATCCTGTGTTTGGGAGGATAGTTTTACATTAACTTCTATGGACAGTCATTATCAGTGTAGAGGCAATTGGAGATATATTGTTAGGTAGAACATTGTACTGAATAGTGTACATTATACTCTGCAGGATATGGGCATGTCGTACTGAGTTCTAGATATCAAAGTCATGGAACGGAATGGATTATTAGGACAGCTTGATGGGTTTATTAAAAATTAGATGAAGCCTGTTGAGGTCTAACATTCCCAGCATTAGCTTGGCCATCCTCTGCTGAGGCAGGTTACTTCATCTAACCATGGTCTTCATCAATGCCCAACAACAACAACAAATTACATTTGTATAGTGGCTTTCATGTCAGGAGGATATTCCAAAGTGCTGGACAGTCAGGGATCTGCACCCGAGCTGGTGGTTGGGATCATGATGAGTGTAGGGTTGTAAAGAACCTGAGATCAAACCAACTACTGTTTGCAACCAGAGTTGTGTTTATTAAAACCTAAGATTCCGTTCAAGTTCCCACTGGGCAAGGACAAGTGAGTACAATCAATAGATCCACTAACAAAACAATACTACCGTTTCGCGGGCCTTTCTTGTTGTTGTCAGCTTCGGTTTTCTAGCTTTCAGTCTTCCAACCACGGTAGGTCTCGTCTTGGAGGCACCCACGATCTGGGTTTGGCATGGCTTTTTAAGCTTGTAGTTGTCCAATCATCAACCATTGATCAGGTCACAATACCTAAGTCACATTGGGTACACACATTGTCCCTACGATATTCACATGAATATTCCTCACTTGCACAACACACCCCATGATGTTTACGTCCCTGGGGTCTCCTGCTTATCAGACTACTATATTTATTTCAAACATCCCATCTCAATCGCTTCTCCAAATCCTGAGTTTCAATGATGACACATACCCTTCTGTGGTCACAACTGCCAGTTACGGATAATATTGTTGCAACGTTTAGTCTAGTTTGCTTTCAGCATATACTAACTTTTATTCTTGAATCGTCAGCTCCTTTTGTTAACGCTTATTCTGCCGGCAGGCAATTTCATAGCAAACACAAATCTTAACAGGGTGGGTAGGGTTAGGTAGGTGAGCGAAGGCACGGTCGAAGAGGAGGGTCTTGAGATGGGGCTTGAAGGAGGCAAGGGAGGGGGCGAGGCAGAGGGACTCAGGGTTGGAATTCCAGAGGGTGGGGGCAAAGAAGCTGAAGGCTCGCCAATGCCCAGATAGACCTCCCCATCTATGGTTATGTTACATGGATTTGATGTTCATCTACACACTCTTGCACACCCATTATATACCCATACTATCATTATATATATATATATACATATATATTATACCACTATATACCCATGCTATCAACTCCAAAAAAATATTGATGACCATAAGGAGTAGCAACTATTTGAACAGTCCAGGCACTTAAACACTGCTTTAACACAACAATAATGCACTTGAAGTTTCTCATTGAATAACACCCTTTAGTTTATTTCCATTTTTGTTGGAGTCTTAAGGATTTCTGTTAATGATGATAGCAATATCCTAGCAGTATCTTTTATTCCCATGGAGCCTCCAGTTATTCCGGAAGGCAGCATCAATGCTTCATTTTTTACAGCAAAAAGGAGTTGCAATTTGAAACAGGGACACACATAATTCTTTGATTTCAAACACTTATCAATTTCACAATGATAGAGTGTCAGATTCTTCAAAGTTGCATTTGTGTGATTCACAATTCTAAGCATCTTTACAAATCCTGCAATGACTCAATGTTAATGTTACAATCTGGGTAACGTTATATGGAAGTGGATGGTATTGTTGGCCCTCCCAAGCAAGGTTTTGTTCATCTATTGGATTGGCTAAGAAAATTGTATGCAGCACTTAAATCTATTGGCATCTATCTATTGAAAACGGCAGAGTACCCTTTTAAGATTTAATTATATGGAGGAATATCCTGTTCAAGTACAATGCTAATATACAGGAAGAATTTACTGACAGACAAAACTGAGATTCATATTGAAATAGCAGCATTTTCCTTCCCTTGGAATAGTTATCTTTAAGTCCCCATTCAATAAGTGGAATTCTCTCCAAGCTTTCCTCTCACTTCCTGTCATGAGAAAAAGTACCAGGGGAAATAATTCTCTAAAACAATAGGTAAACAGTAAGTTAGTTAGAACACAGTTAGAGAATGTGCCCAGTTAGGGTTGCCTCACTTTAGAAAGGATGTCAGAGCCGTAAAGAGCACACAGAGGAGGTTTACGATACTGTAAATGAGTGTTTTGACTGATGAGCAGAATCTGGAGGAACTGGATTGTTTTCACTAGAACAGAGAAGGCTAAGGAGGAGTTCTGACAGAGGTCTTTATAATTATGAAGGGTTTTGAGTCAATACAGAGAAATTATTTCCACTGGTCTGTGAGTCAGTGACTAGAGAGTATCAATTTAAGATAATGAGCAAAGTGGGAGATTATGAGGAGATTGTTCAAAGAGCCATCACAGACACAATGTGTAATAACTGCCTTTTTGTCAGTGCTCTACGGTTTTCCCTTTTGCATCTTGACGGAACTAGGTATCTCAGCTCATCCTGGACTGAACAATGCATTTTATCTTTTCTTGGAAAGAGGAATAATTATCATAACTAACTTTGTTAAGAGCTTATTTTCCACTCCTCATTAGAACCAATTACCTTTGCTAACTACATTATTTAAAACTCTTTGCTAAGAGGCATAAGTAGAAGATACCATCTAGAAAGTGATTAAATAAAACCAGAGAACTCACTTAAAATAATTGAAGCAAACCTAATCTCACCACCAGAGAATAACTGAATTGGAAATATCAGCTCCAAAAAAAATGCTGTTAGATTTTTTTCAGAAGAATACATATTAAGCTCAACATGGATGAACTTTACCTGCTGTAGAATTGTGGGAATCAGTGCTGAGAGAGTTAAAGTGAAGAAAAAAAAGTTTAGTTGAAAGAGAAAACTACAGTATTTAAAGCAGTATTTATCCTGGGTTTAGGGTGCTTTATAAATGCAAGTTGTTGTAATGCTCCCAAGAATGGCCCTTTATTAGAACACATAAAATAAAGAACTTACCAAAACATTATCTTGTCTTTGAATTACATGTGCATTTGAAGTACTTTCAGCCAATATTTCAGATTTTAACTGCAGTACATATATGCACATGATGTTTTTGGCCAGTGTTTATGTGCTAAAGTGATATGGATTCAATGAAGCACTAAACAGCGAAAATAGTGTTGAAAATCATGCAAGTGGTTTCTTAAGATGTGCTAACAATTGGGGAAAGGAATTTCCTGTTCAAAGTTACAGTGCACAAGGAAATTACTTTTGTAATCACTTCTATCTCTCATAAAGGAATTTCTGTGGCTTCAACATTATCTAAAAATATTTGATGCCCTACTTTAGGCACAGTTTTAGGACTGAAGTTTGTGCAGCTTTTCAGTACATCTCATTTGAATTAGAGTTGCAAAGAGACAAGTGGAATTCTCCATTGGTATGTTCTGGATACCTACTTTTTGGGTTATCTGTTTTTTATATTATTCATAAATCGTATTGGAAGGTCATTTTAGGAATATTAATAAATAATGCTAGATTTAAGATATGTCTATATAATTAATAGCATTATTTCTTTTTGTAAACAGATGCTGAAGTGGTATATCGGACCAGAGATTGGCATGTGATCAAATTTAATATAGTGACAAATGAGACACAGTGTTACTGCAAAACAGCATTTTTGTAAGTAAATGCATTTTATATATTTGCACTAAGCTTCTCATTTTTATTTTCCATTGTGCCGAACGGTTATATTTATCTTCTGAACAACTGTTCTAGAATGTGTGTAGAAACTTCTAAAAGTGTAATTTTGCATGAAATGATGACACTAAGTTTGTATTGATCTCTAAGGATTTATCTATAAGGTCAATTTATAGATAATAATCCCTCAAAAAATAATAAATTGGTCATTTCAATTCTCAACTGTTTGTGGGACATTGCTGTGCGTAATTGGCTGCCGCATTTTGCCCACAAATATACAGTCAATTCACTTTACAGTCTATTCTGTGAAGCGCTTTGAGATGTCTAGAAGACATGAAAAATGCTATATCAAATGCAAGGATTATTATTATGCAAGGATTATTATAATTCTAGCAGGAGCAATGATATGTTTTCAACAAACACTATTGACACGTGTTTAGCTGTTTTAGTTTAGACCTGAGTATTTCTATTAATTTATTGTTCAATAATTTTTCCATGTAATTTTCATGCATGTAGGTTAAAGCTCTGAGGTGCTACCCTGCCTGAAGGATGCTATATAGATGCAAGTAATTGTTGTTAAATGAAATTGACAAGCTATGCAGCTCTTTGAGGAAGATGTATTTTACTTCTTTTCTTCCCCACATCCAAGCCATGACCCGCTCTGTCTTCCCTCACCTCTGTAACATCGCCCGACTCCGCCACTATCTCACCCCTCAGGCCGCTGAAACACTTGTTCATGCCTTCATCATCTCCAGGCTCGACTATGCAAATGCTCTGCTTGTCGGCCTTCCCATCTCCTCGCTCCACAGGCTGCAGATAATCCAGAACTCTGCAGATCTCTGTCAGAACTCCTCCTTAATCTTCTCTGTTCTAGTGAAAACAATCCAGTTCCTCCACCAAACTCCATGACCCCATCTCTCCCATTCTTGCCCGATTCCATTGGCTTCCTATCCTTCAGAGAATCCAGTTCAAAATCCTGGTCCGCACCTAAAAGCCCTCAATGGCCTCACGCTATCCTATCTCTGTGACCTCCTAATCCCCTACCAACCCTCCGCCCAGCTGGCTGCGGCCTCTCCATGTCCCCTGACCCAGCTGCCCCACCATTGGCAGGATAGCCTTCAGCTACTCTGCCCCCAACCTATGGAACTTCATCCCCCAATCACTCAGCCTCGCCCCCTCATTCGCCTCCTTCAAGTCCTGCCTCAAAACCCTCCTCTTCGACCATGCCATCGGTCACCCCCCTTCCCCTCTCCTCCCTTCTTTCCTCTGACCCCACCTCGGGTCTGAAATGCCGTAAACTGTCCAGCGCCTTGGGACATCATCCTCCCAACGTGAAAGGCGCTATACAAATGTAATCTTGTTGTTGTTGTTGTTTAGAAAAGAATTGTCACCCATGTGCAAAGCTGTTAGGATGACTTTAGTTTTGCTTATAAATGCAATGATTCTAATTGGCATTACATACTCATAACATACATCAAATGTTCAGCTTGTTGATTCTGTTCCATTGACTCGTCTATCATTTCATTTGTAGTTTTAGAAATCAATACAAAATTATATTTGTAAAGTGCCTTTCATATCAGGATGACGTCCCAAGGCACTGGGATGCTATTTTGTGGGAAAAATAGCCTTTCATTTATTCTCAATTTAAGTCTTTGATATGACTTCACTAAATATGACATGTTTTCACTAAATATGAAAATGTTGAAAGTAAACAAAAGGTCAAAAATACAAAGAATCAGACATCTTGTAAAAGATATACAGCCTTTCAATGAATGACTTTAAAATCTCCCTTTGAACTATTTTAAATGTGTTTAGAATAAAGTTGTAAAAGATTCCAAAATAGAAAAGTTGGTCTGTAAAGAAAAGTTCATCAGCAAGTTAAAGGAAACTGGGTATAATTGTTTTTTCACCTCAGTAATAAAGGAATTGGAACAGTATTGAAGTGTTGAATGGCAAGCTGGTCTACAGTCAATCACAATGCACTTGTGCAATAATCTGACAGTTACAAGATGACACTTAGTACTGGTAGCTAAGTATTTTCAAGAAATGACTCCAACAGCTGTGGTCTAAACAATGAAAAGCATAACCTTTTACTGGCTGGAATTCTATAAAAAGAGCCTTTTATAGTTCCTGACAAGTGGCAGTCTCCTGAATCCATGTGAATAATGACAACAAGTCCACTGGATACAGTCAATCTTTTGAACACAGAAGCTTGTCGGTAAGTTTACCGACCCTTAGCTGCATGTGTTTAGAGTAGGATCTTCTAATTAGGAGAGCTTGCTGTTCAGGTCGGTAAATTTACCGACCATCAGAGAATCATATACACACAATGGTAAGGTTGATAAGTTTACCAACAAATAGAAAATAATCCCCAGAGTCTTCAGGCACTTGTTTTTTTATAAACTTTTATTAGTTCATCACTGACCATAAAATGCTTTATTGCTGTTAGGCAGAGGTTAGTTCTTGAGCATTTGGGTTGCTTTCCTCCCCCACCCTCCCAATACCAGCATTACAGACAAACAAAAAAGGTTGTTTAGATACTTGATTATAGTTAACGCAATAAACATTTGATGCTCCAGTATTTAGGGACTCAACATTGGACTTATGGTTTTGTTCCAATTGATACTTTGAAACACCGTAAATTCTGAACACAAGATCGTGTGGTGTTCTCTAAACACAACGAAGATACATTGAGCTGTCCTCTTAAATTTCGCCCACAAAGTATACAGTCAAGCAAAGGTTATACTCTGTCTTTACACTTTACAGTGTATTCTGTGAAGCGCTTTGAGACATTTCGAAGACGTGATAAGGCGCTTTATCAAATGCAAGAATTATTATCATTATTATTAAATGTGCAATCTGTAATTGGTTTACCTCCAGGATAGAGGTTTCAGGGAATCTAACTCCGCCTAGATTGGTCAGTATTTAAAGCTTTCAAAATCACATGCAGTAATGCTACAACATTTCTTAATATTAAAGCAGTGGCAGTGAAGGCACAGATATATCAGGAATAGCTTTATTATTGCAATTAAATCCACATAATTAAACCAGACGCTGAATGTTTGGAACATTGTGGATTAGTTCGTTCATCTAGAGTTCACACTCCATTTTTTGCTTTGGATGTGAATATTGTATCAATGATTGATTTGGTCACATGTTTCTTTTTCGTTGACTACATAAGCAATCTATCTCCATAGATCTGCTAGCTGAAAACCATTTCAGGTAATTACTAAACAAATTAAATGCTCATCCTGCCTTCCCCATTCACTCTGTTATAGTTTATTATTTTAACTTTGCTTTTATGTTGTATCTATCAAGTTAGACTTGATGGTAATTATTTTGTACAGTTGAGAATCACCCCATAGCTTACACTCACTTTCTGACTGGCAGAATAGAAATTTGCAAAATATTCTGAGTACACAATTACCTGTGTTGTTTGCATCTGAAACGATTATGGTAGAGGGCAAGGAGAACTTTCAGTACAAAGTACTCCCCTATCTAGATAATCTTTACAAAAATTTCTCTCTCTGGGGGACTGTCATTTCTGTCAGGACTGTCAGGACTTTCTGTGGAGTCCTGCAGCTCAGTGATTAGAGTACTCGCTTTGCAAGCGAGAGACCTGAGTTCAATTCCAGACAGGGCGAAACCTTGGGCAAGTTTCCTTACTCCACACAGAGCCTAATAATAATCCCTCCAAAACCAAAAACAATAATAAATTGGTCATTTTCAATCTACGACTATTTGTGGAACATTGCTGTGCGCAATTGGCTGCCGCGTTCGCCCACAAATATACAGTCAATTCACTTTACAGTGTGTTCTGTGAAGCGCTTTGGGACATCCTCCCGACATGAAAAGCGCTATATCAAATGCAAGGATTATTATTATTATTATGCTCAAGGAGAAAATCTGTGGATTTCCTCCTTGAGCAACTCAAGCAATTGAACAACTTAAGCAATTCACTGCTGATCAAACAAAACAATATCCAATTTAATACAGATGTTAATAACAACAACGTTTGAAAAGACAGTCTAGATGTATATAAAAACATGCATGCTTATAGCACAGAAAGAGGCTATGTGGCCTGTTCTGTTTGTGCAGGAGTTAATTGGAATCATCTACGTAATTCCTATTCCCTTCATTTGTAAAATTTGATCTTGTGGTAAACATTTTGAGTTCATCACATATAAATCGTTGCATTTTGTGTTTGGTATAGAGCCTATAATGTTAAATACCTCAAAGCCCTTAACAGGAAATTGCTGTAAAATGAAATAGCTGTATTTGTAAAAGTGAATGTAGCAGCCAAATTGCACATATAGATGTCTCACAAACAGATTAAGTAAATGTCCACTGTATCTGTGGGATACACTTTCCAAAAGTTCAAAATAGTTTTAAATACCATTGCAATTTGAATCACCAAATGGGTTGGGTAATAACATTACAAAGTGATAACAATTGTATATCTAATCTATTTATATCATTGGAACAAACTTTAATGCACATTAATATTTCACAACAAACTCTAACATGCTTTTGTTTGCTAGCATCTGTGAATCATTATTCACTTGTAGATAACTATTTCATAAACAATGGTGCATCATTCTTTTGTCTTAGGATCACCTTTGTCGAGAACATCAGTTTCATTTCTTGCTCCCTCTTAATGGACAGATTAATATTTAAACAGTTTCACTGTATCCTTTCTTTTTTTGTGATACATTCACCAGAAGAGGATTTTCTTTAAAAAGCTGGGCGAATGATTTATTGTCCTGTGTGCTTCCTTTCATTTTGCATATGATCACAGTCATTACACACAACATCACACACAACATTTCAAAGCACATCACAGGATTTAGTGTAAAGTTTAATGATTGTGTATTGTAGGTGAACACAATAGCCAAATTGTGCACATCAATGTCCCACAAACAGTCACAAAGTAAATGATCAATTTTATCTAAGGAATTGTTAACTAGGACATCTGGGTAAAAGTGCCTTCTCTTTTCAAATAGTGTCCTGGGATCTTTGACATCTAGCTGAATGTCCAACATATTGCCCAACAGGCAAGCAGGATCTAATTCAAAGAACAGCACAATGGATTAGAAGAGTTCCAAATAATAGATATGTTAGAGTTGTTCTTGCTTCTAAGAGGTATCAGGCACTACACAAAATAACCGATAAAAGTCACTGCAGACTAATCTACAGGGCAATGCGAATGTGCCATGCTATATAAATAGTACACTTCATTGGGAACTACCCATGCATTTAACATGAAATGTTTTTGTATTATTCTTCAGGAGACGTTCAAAGCAACCAAATACTTTGTGTCCCCGGACCTCAGATTTGTTCTGCTTGCTTATGATGTCAAACAGGTAAGGAAACACTTAATATTAAATATCCAAAGTATAGTAAATACTTAAGCGAATGTCTCAACTGAAGGTATTGCAATCCATTTGGCTTGATTCCCGATATAACTCAAGTTCATTGTGTATTGTCATGACAATTGCAATAGCTTTTGGCTGAATATTTTGATGTGTGCCATGCATTTTCTCCACTAGATTTATCGTTTGGCTCCTACTGCTGCCGCAACAAATGGGGGCTTTACTCCACCAACATAGGTTGGATTTTCAGTGCTCATGTAAATAAGAGCTGAGGAAATAAATCTGTTTTTTGGAAGAGTGATGCCTGATGAAGCCAATATAGATTTATTATTTTTTGCTTTAAAACACAAGATGTCAGCTTACCTCAGTTGATAGCACTTCTCACCTCTGGGTCAAAAAGTTGTGGCTTCAAGTATTGTGTCCGTGATTTTGAGCTCATGATCTGGGTTGATACCAACAGTGTTGGGAAGCATGCAGTTGTCAATTGTGCCATCCTTCAGGTGAGATGATAAGCTGACATGTGGATATTGACGATCAAATTGAATATTAGAGAAGGGAATTTTTTCCCCCCTGTGTTCTGGCCAATAATGGTTAAATTGGTCATTGACTGTTTGTGGTACACTGCTTTGTCAACAATTATTATTATTATAACAAATTGGCTGCTGTTTTCACCTACAAATAACAGTTACACTTTGAGATGTTTCGATGTGATGTTTCAGATTCTTTGACTTGTCTATCAAATGCAAGGATTATTAATATTGGTTATGACATTAGGAGAAATCTGTACTTTATTTTTCTAGATTTCCAGTGCACTGGGACGTCCTCCCGAAATGAAAGGTGCTATACAAATATAATTTGTTGTTGTTGTTACTGGATCTTTAACAGCCACCTGAACCACCAGAACAGGCAGAGAGGATCTCTGTTTAATGTTTCATTTCACAATTGGTACTTTGGGCTACTATACTCTTCCTTAGTACTGCAATTGGAGTGTCTTTCCAGATTATGAACTCAATTCTTGGTGTTGCACCAACCACTTCTGACTCTGAGATCAGAGGGTTACCAACTGAACCAAACCAACCCAAATATATATGGAGAGATGAAGTACCAAAGCCGCTAATGTAACACATCACATAAGGTTGAAATGCTTCGGAAAACACTGAAATAAATCAGTATGTGCTAAGTGCTGCTAAACTGGTCTTTTGTAAATGTATAAGATTTATTTATAAATGGAATAAAAGCTTGGAAGGTAAAGAATTCAACAGTTTTGAGGTCCTGGGTAAAATGAGGTGTAAAGTATGAGATGGAGATACAAGTTTTATTTACGGCACAGTAAGCTTTATAGAGAAGGACAAGTGTGCATGATGGTGTAAATAGAGTTTAACTGGAAGCAGTTCCAGAAGATAGTGACAGCCAGACTGTTTTCACACTGAAGCTGCCATTGACTATCACTGGTTCCTTAGCCAGATTCTCCGTGAGTAATATTAAAGGCATAGATCTTCATCAGAAGTCTTTGGCAAATGTTTTGTTTGTTTAAAACTGCACAGCAGGATGTCACATATTCTGCTGCCACATTTCATTGTTCGACTTATGGATATCATAATCGAGGCATGTCAGGATTCTTCCACCTGTTTTCCCTCATCAAAAGATTGGTGAAAACTGAAGACAATCCCCATTTAAGACAATTTTTGGCATTTTAAAATAAATGTGTGGTACAGTAAAACTTGCATAAGTCTTAACTTTATAAAGCATATAATCGCTAAATTGTATATTCATCCTAGTCGCATTCAGTTTCTTTTCTAAACCACTTAGATTTATTTGCACTACTCATATTAATCACCTCCTAACTCGTAACATCACTCCCCTAACCTGGAACTAGGAGTCACAAGCACACTGGCTAAGTTTGCAGCTGACTCTAAGCTAATGAAGGTGATAGATTGCGAAGCTGAACAAGATAGGATTTGAACATTCTTGGGAATTGGGCAGATCGGTGGCAGATGAAATTCAATGTGGAGAAATGTAAAGTACTTTACATGGGGATAAAAAATCCTGGAATGGATTATTATTTGAACGGAAGGAAGATAATATGTATGGAAAATGAAAAAGACCTGGGGATCCTGATTGACAATAAATTGAAGCTCTCACAACAATGCTCTGTGGCAGTGAGTAAAGCAAACCAGATGTTGGGATGTATCAAAAGATCAATAGGAAGCTGAAATAGTGGGGTAATCCTGCCACTGTATAAATCATTGGTGCGACCATATTTGGAGTACTGTGTACAGTTCTGGTCACAGTACCAAAAGGATATTGGAGAAATTGAGAGGATACAGAGGAGGGCAAGCAAAATGATTGAGGGAATGGAGGGACTGGACTATGAGGAGCAACTAAGTAAATTGGGAATGTTCACGCTGGAAAAGAGAAGATTGAGAGGCGAAATGATTCTAAAGGGGCTAAACAATATAGATCATGACAGGCTGTTTCAACTTGTCCAGAATAGTAAAACCAGAGGACATGGCCTGTGATTGAAGCGGGGTCAATTCAGAACAATCTATGCATAACCTATTTCAGTGAACCTGTGAAACAGGCTCCCTGGAGAGTCTGTTGAAGTAAGAAGTGTTGATTCTTTCAAACACAAATTAGATAGTTTTCTTTTAGGAAATAACATTATGGTACATAGGTAGTTCAGGATATATGTGCATGCGACCCCCCAGGAAGGTGAAAGGCGAACAAGTTGGACCTTCGTCTTTTTTCGTCTTGCATTTCTTATGTTCTTATGCATATAGAACAAAACATATGTGCCTTTGCTAATACTGTAGATTGAATCAAGTTTAGCTTAGTTTTTGCAATTTGTCCTAGTTATTTATCCCTTATACCACTATCAAAGCAGCTTAAAAATAATTATACAGTAGCCAGGCACAAAATTTTAACTGAGCCTTTTACAAGCATTGCTAAATGAAACACGTTGATTCTACATAATTAACACAATTGCATACCAAGTTGATATGCCTTAAAATTTTTGGTAGTTTTTTTCTGGTATTCTGTAAAAAATGTTTTAAAATCTATTTAACATGCACATAGCATTCCTATCTAATGAATTACTTCAAAATCTGGCTGTTTTACTGACACGAATAATGACTGTATCACATTCAGAAACGGAAGTGCATTATTTAATGAAATGTTCAGCTGCAATTCTACAATTTGCAGCATTATTTATGATTTTGGTACTTTATACCATTGTTTACTTAAATTTCATCAAACGTGTTAAACGTTAATAAGCTATCTCATTCTCCCAGTGCTGGAATTTGGCCCAATGCAGTCACAAAGGATAACCCTGATTATTAGCGCATCTGGCGGCTGGTTGTACGGGTTCAGAGTTTCTATACTGAGAGTGGGCCCAGTCTCTGCTTTTGTAATATAACTGAAACTTTATATTTGTATGCTCTGCAGGAAATTGAATTCTCCCAATTATTGGGTCACTCACATACTGGGAAACAATTGTTGGCAGGGAATTTGCAACTTGTACGGGAACATCTCAATTAACTCTTCTCCCCATTAACTGGCCCCAGCTATTGTTTAAATTATTGCCACCCCAAAACACAAGGGATCTCCAGGCAGAATGTTTTAAATCACTTTAGAATAATTCAAAATAATTAATGCAAAACTTTGCTTGTGTGGGAGTGTTTAAATTATGCACGATTAACTATTTTATAATTAGATTTTTGCACAATTGTAAAATATATTTTGTTAACATTCTGTTGTTATAGTCTCCCTTTAAAATAGTAAATACACCATACCATATACCACATTTCTAAATAAGGAATTTGAGTCCCATAAATTAATAATCCTTTTGTATCTAACAGGAATGATAAAAACAACACAGTAGTGTTTTTTGTCGGTGTTTTCTGCTCAAGAAGCCAAGTGCCTTCATTCCAATTATCTGCTCTTTCTTCTTACTCTCTAATACATTTCCTATCCATGTACTTGTCCAATTATTTTGAAATCCCCTCAACTAGCTGTACCTGAGCAACAACCCTGCCAATTAATCCCATACCCTAACAACCCATGTTAGGTTTCTTCCAAACCTTGCTTTTTATTCCACTCGTCACAATCTTGAATTCACAGACTTTTTCCTTAAACCCCTACCAGCGAACCATCACACCAACCTGCTGATTGTAGAACAATGTATCAGTCAATCATATACTGAAGCCATTCAGCCCAATCATGTCCTGGATGACCTGTTAATCGAGAGAGCAGTAAAACGTAAGTGAGATTTAGCTACTGTAAATGCTGATCTTTGCACTTATTATGAGTTATCATAACATTTGCAAAATAAATTATAACATGAAGCATAAAATAAATACTCCTGAAAATAACACCTTGCAAATCAGTAGTTTTTGTTGTTTATTGCATTTACTCAGCACAGCCAATTATATCAGACTAGCTGTACAGTTGCAGCTTTGCTTGCAACCAAAGGATCCAATATGGAATGTAAATTGACACACAGACAGACACGCAGACATTTCATCTTCATCTTTATGGTGTCCTGTAGCTCAGTGGTTAGAGCATTTGCCTGGCAAGTGAGAGACCTGGGTTCGATTCACGGCAGGGCAAAACCTTGGGCAAGTTCCCTTACTCCACAAGCCTGATAATATTCCCTAAAGAAAAAAAGATAATAAAATTGGTCACTTCAGTCCATGACTGAATGGGACACTGTTGTGCACAATTGGCTGCTGCATTTCACCCACAAATATACAGTCAATTCACTTTACAGTATACATTGTGAAGTGCTTTGAGACGTCTAGAAGCTATGAAAAGCGCTATATCAAATGCAAGGATTATTATTATTATTAATATCTATAATCATCTGGGAGGACGCAGTGGGAGGACTCGGCGCTTTAAAAATTAAATTTTCTTCTTTTGCTGTGACTTGGTCTTGTCTGTGTTCTTTATTTTGTACCCGCCACTTGGCTAATTACGTGCTCTGTGAGACAGGA